GATAAATTACAATATCCATCCGGACCTTTGCCACCTGCTCTACAATCTCAACATCACAGCTGAAACACCAACATCAGAGGAGGCTGGAACAGCTCTTGTACTGCTGGTTTAAACAGTGAATCACATGTATTCACTAACTTGGTTTCATGATCATATGCCTGATTCTACCAGGTGTTGGAGGTCCACGAGAACCTGGATAAGAAGCAAGTCCCAGAGGACTACGAGGAGGATCTGAGTGAGAAGGAGAAGGCCATCGTCAGAGAGATGTGTAACGTAAGTAGTTGTATAACCCTGAATGCTGATTGTCTGACAGCCGTATACCACGGGTATGACAAAACATGTATTTTTACTGCTCTAATTACGTTGGTAACCAGTTTATAATAGCAACAAGGCACCTCGGGGGTTTCTGATATATGGCCAATATATCACGGCTAAGTGCTGTGTCCAGACACTCCACGTTGCGCCGTGCATAAGAACAGCCCTTAGCCATGGTATATTGGCCATATACCACACCCCCTTGGGCCTTATTGCTTAAGTATAACGCGTTAATACAGTTACTATTCATATTTATAACACGTTAATACAGTTACTATTCATATTTATAACATGTTAATACAGTTACTATTAATATTTACAACACGTTAATACAGTTACTATTCATATTTATAACACGTTAATACAGATACTATTAATATTTATAACACGTTAATACAGTTACTATTCATATTTATAACACGTTAATACAGTTACTATTCATATTTATAACACGTTAATACAGTTACTATTCATATTTATAACACGTTAATACAGTTACTATTCATATTTATAAAACGTTAATACAGTTACTATTCATATTTATAACACGTGAATACAGTTACTATTCATATTTATAACACGTTAATACACTTACTATTCATATTTATAACACGTTAATACAGTTACTATTCATATTTATAACACGTTAATACACTTACTATTCATATTTATAACATGTTAATACAGTTACTATTCATATTTATAACATGTTAATACAGTTACTATTCATATTTATAACACGTTAATACAGTTACTATTCATATTTATAACACGTTAATACAGTTACTATTCATATTTATAACACGTTAATACAGTTACTATTCATATTTATAACACGTTAATACAGTTACTATTCATATTTATAACACGTTAATACACTTACTATTAATATTTATAACACGTTATAACACGTTAATACAGTTACTATTCATATTTATAACACGTTATAACACGTTAATACACTTACTATTCATATTTATAACACGTTAATACAGTTACTATTCATATTTATAACACGTTAATACAGTTACTATTCATATTTATAACACGTGAATACAGTTACTATTCATATTTTATAACACGTTAATACACTTACTATTCATATTTATAACATGTTAATACACTTACTATTCATATTTGTCTGTCCTCTTTCTTTTTGTCTGTCTCCCTCACCCTGGCGAGTTATTAGTACAGGTAGAACAAGAGTAGAGAGATTCTGGGTCATTTAAATACATTTCCCTATTTGCCTATTTTGCTCAGCGCTACAAAGCAGTAGGAGTGTTCTCTCTCTGTGTCTCTGTCCCGTCGTGGAGCGGTGTTCTAATTTGAGTGTATCGCTCCCAGTGGTGTAGTGGTGTATCGCTCCCAGTGGTGTAGTGGTGTATCGCTCCCAGTGGTGTAGTGGTGTATCGCTCCCAGTGGTGTAGTGGTGTATCGCTCCCAGTGGTGTAGTGGTGTATCGCTCCCAGTGGTGTAGTGGTGTATCGCTCCCAGTGGTGTAGTGGTGTATCGCTCCCAGTGGTGTAGTGGTGTATCGCTCCCAGTGGTGTAGTGGTGTATCGCTCCCAGTGGTGTAGTGGTGTATCGCTCCCAGTGGTGTAGTGGTGTATCGCTCCCAGTGGTGTAGTGGTGTATCGCTCCCAGTGGTGTAGTGGTGTATCGCTCCCAGTGGTGTAGTGGTGTATCGCTCCCTGTGGTGTAGTGGTGTATCGCTCCCAGTGGTGTAGTGGTGTATCGCTCCCAGTGGTGTAGTGGTGCCTGGAGAAGTGTGTATAGTTACATTTTGCCCACAAAAAAATCTGAACGGCCCACACGGTGAAGGAAAGGTGCCCTGTGTGAAAGATTCAGGATTTCACTCTCAAAATCACACTTTTTATAGAAAATTGACAAAAATGTTATGTTCTATGTCCACAACAATGCTTAAACTACATCAGGAGACAATTTCTTAAGTCAGGGAAAAATCTAAAACAATATATTTTGGAGGGTGTAGTTGCTCTTTAATTCACACCTAGCATGAGACCATTTGGCTAGTGGTGTTTATGTACTGTACAATGTAGGCCTACAGTATGTGAAGGCAAAGTTTGCAAAACAAATTTCCTTCCGATTGACACCACTCATCATAATATCATTCGGCCTACTTTACAGTCAACATTTAATTGGGAAGGTTTTTTGGGAAAGCCTTTAGAAACAGAGCGTGATGACTGAATTGCACATTGCAAAGATTCAACCAAAGATTTTGGACCTTTTTCAATACCTGGTTTGCACACCCGTTGTTTCCTTAGTTAGCATTTACTGGTAGATATAAGTTGAAACGTCTTTTCTTACCTACCCTACCGACTACCGATGTCGTTATTCTGTGAGCTGCGCCATGCGACAACCAGTTGAGAGCTGCACGCTCTTGCTGCCTGATATTCCTCTGAAACTAGGCTATATTTCAAGTGCTTTGCGTTTGTATAGGCTACTTTGTGGATGATTTCTCTATTGGACAACGTAAATGACACCTCCACTCCACTACTTTCATATGCATCAGTGGGGATTAAGAAGTAGACGCAATGCCCACTGAAAAATAAGTGGGTATACGGCGTATGTCTGCTGCATACAGCCTCCACTACACCACTGGTTGCACCTCTGTGTCTGTGTCCCATCGTGGAGCGGTGTTCTAATTGGAGTATTTTTATAAGAGGCTCTCGCAGCCCAACTGTCAGAGCAATGAATCTATCTGAGTAGGCAGGGAAAAGAGCAGAGCATCCCCCTCCTCTCCTCTTCTCCGCTTCCTCCCTCCATTATAGAAAAAAAGAGCCTACTGATTAGAGAGAGAGAGAGAGAGAGACACAGAGAGAGAGACAGAGAGAGACAGAGACAGAGAGAGAGAGAGAGAGAGAGAGATGTGCTGTTTCCATCAAGTATTATTAAGTACTCTACCTGCTTACTAGAGCATTGTGAACTGCCGTGGCACCGTGGTCTAAGCAGCGTGTGTTTGCACCCAAAGCTGTGCCATCGGTTGTTTTGGGGGGTGGGTGAATGCTGAGGAAGGCATATATCGACGTCCTCAGGGCCTTTTGAAAGGTTCCGAAATCGATGGCTGTTTCTAGTGACCAGACTGATGTGGCAGGATAGGAATCTGTGGAGCTTCACAACACCACCTCTGTATTATCTATGGGGCCCTGGGTCCTCTCATCTCACACACAGAGAGATTCCTTCAGGGGTTCAGTTAGTGAAAGACCAAGTGAGGACAGAGAGATTCCACCAGGGGTTCAGTTAGTGAAAGACCAAGTGAGGACAGAGATGCTTTGCCTGCACATACTGTTTGGGGGGCATCGAAGTCGAAATGATTGAATTTCAGCTTCTGTGTATAAAAAAGGGTGCATAACATAACTGTTTTCTTTGTATGTGGGTGTGTGTGTATATGTTTGTATGTGCAGGTGGTGTGGAGAAAGCTGGGCGACGTGGCAGGATCTAAGCCGTCCATCAGACAGCATCTCTCTGGTAACCAGTTCAAAGGCCCAATGTAGTCCACAGCAGCCAGAGAGGGAGAAAGAGAGAGAGAGAGAGAGAGCGAGACCTACCTACGTGACTGGACATTATACGACCCAGGAAAACCCCAGAATGGACCTCTCTGTTTCTCCCTCGCCACTAGTCAACTCCCCATATACACACACATTTCGTTTGAACTTCCAGTGTTGTTGATAACTGGCAGCTAGTTTCACTGATTTGCCACTTTCCTTGTATTACTGATTTTGGGGTTTATAGTTAGACAGGCTTACACTTTTACACAGTGCTGAAGACTATTTCAGAACAAGCTCCTGTTGTTTTGTTTTATGCTAAAAAGAAAGAAACTATATGAGTCCTCTAGAAAAGGACCAGTAGAGCTGGATGGTTACTACAGCAGGGCTTCAGGCTGGGGCAATGTTGGGATAAAAAACATTTCCCAAACGTCCCTTTGATGTTAAAGTAACGCTGTGATAATGTCAGATATGGTTACTACGTTTTGGGTTACAAGTGTCTCGTATGGACAGATCTAGGATCAGCTTCATCCACCTTCAATCCTGATCTTGAGCATTTAGAGGTAACATACAGTACTGACTGTGGATCAGTGTCTAGGAGCAATGTCACCCCACTCCTTCATAGTGCTTCCCATAAAAACCCAGCTAGCTCCTCTGTTAGTTGTGCTTTGTCTTTATCTGGTTGATTAGCGTAATTAGCATTAGCTAATGCTAGCTTTAACAAAATTAGCATTAGCTAATGCTAGCTTTAACAAAATTAGCATTAGCTAATGCTAGCCTTAGCAGAAGTAGCATCCAAAGTGTTAATATGTGATACCTATTGTGATATGATACATAGCGCCCTATGCTCATAAGAGAAGTCTATTATTAATACAGTACTATTATAGAGATCACTTTTAAAATGTGTGTAAATACGTATAAAACCATAGCACTACTTTGTTGTTGTTACCGTTTATTTTGACCTTTTAATTTTTTTATTATTATTCTAGCGTGTTAAAAACTGTTTTGTGGGTTTTATGTTTTACAGAAGCACACAACTGAACCTTAAACAGGGTTCTTTCTATGGTAACCACTCATCTTTTTACTGTAGTTCGTTGAAACAAATGATTACTTTATCTGCTCTGCAAACGTTCAAGGCCATTTTGAATCTAAACCGTCTCAGCCAATTAATTATTTTTTACTAAAATGTACAAGGTTGTGCATGCTCTAAGACAATCATGTTTCTCAGGTTGGGAAATAACAAGACATTTACCACGACCCTGTGACTCTTCTGTGACTCAGTGAAGACCGAATGGATATAGTGGTGATTCTTTCTTGACGTTGGTCAGACTGCCTGTGTATACTGTAGTTCTCTGTAACGTACTGATGACACCTGGTTACCACAGGGTTGGCGACTGCTGAACACATTTTCTGCATTCATTTTATATGAAATAATAATATTTCAGAAATCTCCATGACAGAAGGTTTCAGAAATGTTCTCTGAAACTTGGAAGGCTTTTATGCTACTGTCATAAAGGGAAGATCAAACTAATTTGGCTATGTTTGGTCATCAATAACTATTGCGCTAATCAAACTACTGTACAACACAGTATTGTAATTGAAAGCTAAGAAAGTTGTCAAATAAATTGAATGGGTTTTCATTTTAATTTGCATAATATGAATAAGTGTTTTAGCCATGGTGAATACAGCAGATGAGTTTCAGCAGTGGACTTTGCATGTTTTGTAGAATATTATTTCTGTTGGAGTGTGAGAAAGAGCAAGTCTTCCCTTAGATGTTTTTCGATACAGCTACGTTTTAACAAGTTATACAGTGAGGGAAAAAAGTATTTGATCCCCTGCTGATTTTGTACGTTTGCCCACTGACAAAGAAATGATCAGTCTATAATTTTAATGGTAGGTTTATTTGAACAGTGAGAGACAGAATAACAACAAAAAAATCCAGAAAAACGCATGTCAAAAATGTTATAAATTGATTTGCATTTTAATGAGGGAAATAGGTATTTGACCCCTTTGCAAAACATGACTTAGTACTTGGTGGCAAAACCCTTGTTGGCAATCACAGAGGTCAGACATTTCTTGTAGTTGGCCACCAGGTTTGCACACATCTCAGGAGGGATTTTGTCCCACATCTTCTCCAAGTCATTAAGGTTTCGAGGCTGACGTTTGGCCACTCGAACCTTCAGCTCCCTCCACATATTTTCTATGGGATTAAGGTCTGGAGACTGGCTAGGCCACTCCAGGACCTTAATGTGCTTCTTCTTGAGCCACTCCTTTGTTGCCTTGGCCGTGTGTTTTGGGTCATTGTCATGCTGGAATACCCATCCACGACCCATTTTCAATGCCCTGACTGAGGGAAGAAGGTTCTCACCCAAGATTTGACGGTACATGGCCCCGTCCATCGTCCCTTTGATGCGGTGAAGTTGTCCTGTTCCCTTAGCAGAAAAACACCCCCAAAGCATAATGTTTCCACCTCCATGTTTGATGGTGGGGATGGTGTTCTTGGGGTCATAGGCAGCATTCCTCCTCCTCCAAACATGGCGAGTTGAGTTGATGCCAAAGAGCTCAATTTTGGTCTCATCTGAACACAACACTTTCACCCAGTTCTCCTCTGAATCATTCAGATGTTCATTGGTAAACTTCAGACGGGCCTGTATATGTGCTTTCTTGAGCAGGGGGACCTTGCGGGCGCTGCAGGATTTCAGTCCTTCACGACGTAGTGTGTTACCAATTGTTTTCTTGGTGATTATGGTCCCAGCTGTCTTGAGATCATTGACAAGATCCTCCCGTGTAGTTCTGGGCTGATTCCTCACCGTTCTTATGATCATTGCAACTCCACAAGGTGAGATCTTGCATGGAGCCCCAGGCCGAGGGAGATTGACAGTTCTTTTGTGTTTCTTCCATTTGCGAATAATCACACCAACTGTTGTCACCTTCTCACCAAGCTGCTTGGCGATGGTCTTGTAGCCCATTCCAGCCTTATGTAGGTCTACAATCTTGTCCCTGACATCCTTGGAGAGCTATTTGGTCTTGGCCATGGTGGAGAGTTTGGAATCTGATTGATTGAGTTTGGAATCTGATTGCTTCTGTGGACAGGTGTCTTTTATACAGGTAACAAGCTGAGATTAGGAGCACTCCCTTTAAGAGTGTGCTCCTAATCTCAGCTCGTTACCTGTATAAAAGACACCTGGGAGCCAGAAATCTTTCTGATTGAGAGGGGGTCAAATACTTATTTCATTAAAATGCAAATCAATTTATAACATTATTCACATGCATTTTTCTGGATTTCTTTGTTGTTATTCATTCTCTCACTGTTCAAATAAACCTACCATTAAAATTATAGACAGATCATTTCTTTGTCAGTGGGCAAACGTACCAAATCAGCAGGGGATCAAATACTTTTTCCCCCTCACTGTACCTTGATGATGTCAGATTAAATAAGTACTGTTATGATCAAACTGTTCAAGGCTATTTATTGCCAGGGGTTTAGATAAAGATGGGAGAGCTATCCAATAATCGGGCTGTCATGTGATTGGCCAGTTTAAGATTTCAACCTATCAGGAGATTATATGATTGGTATCCAGGTCTTTTGATTGGGCAATTGGTAATGATTGACAGCTCAAGCTCTCCTGGCTCTAGTATTAGTTGTTCCAAATTAGAACATGATTGAGGCTTCCGACCGTTCATTCTTACGGTTCGTTCTCCTCTGTTCTCTCTAATAGGGTCTACTACAAGAAAAAAGAAAATCAAAGTATAGTGTCCTTTTTTTGTTGTTGGAACAACTGATTTGAAGCCATGATGCGATGACTTGTCATATTTTTCAGTCTGCCATTTTGATTTGAGCTGTGCTACATTTTTCTCTGCATGAGATGTTGAGTTGGAACCTGTGTTTTGAACTTTGTTGTATTTTTTTATTCTGTATATATGTGCTAAACTAGAAGCCATGATGATCTGTGATCCTAGTCTGCATCTGAAATTGCACCATATTCCCTAGTGCACTACTTTTGACCACGACCTTGTGCTGACCCTGGTCAAAGGTAGTGCGCTATATAGGGAATAGGGTGCCATTTGGGACAGGGACCTACAGTGTTAATGCAAACTATTCCTGTAGCAACTAGCATGACTGTAAAATATGTTTTTTTTTCGCTGAGATCAGACAAATATTTGTAGGTGATAGTAAAAAATAAAAAATAAAAATAATAATTGAACTAGGCCACTTTTAGATGATTTTTGAGAGAAAAAATAAACAAGTGATTACTTTCTTTGTAATTCTGTGTCTTCTCTGAATTAATCTGTGAGGAAATGCTGACTTGAGCCCACTGATAAACACTAAACAACACATACAGTACAATACGAACCCTTCCATACTGAAGGTTGACAGGAATTCAGAACTTGAGCAAACCTGTCCTCTGCTGGTATATATAGTGAATGATCACTGTACTGTACTTTCCTGAGAAATGTAACATTTCAAAGTGGATTAACGGAATGGGACTGACAGTATTGGGGAAAACATTCAAAGTGGACACAGATACAGTGGGTACAGTTTAAGCCACTGGTCAGTGAAGGTGTAGTTTGGGGGAGGGGTGGGGGTCACGAACTGACGAAACAGTTAAGCTGATTGTTCCTGAGGTCAGGACCTGAGAAGCAGACAGTCTGAACTTCAACTGGGGTGTAATCGTTAGTCCCAAAAAAATTTTGCAACGGAAACAAGAGTTTCTATTGGACAAATTCAGGTAGGTCCCTCCCCATTCCGCTTGGCTCCTTCCTAGTGAATAGACCCAAACTGAAAACTGTTCCTAACACACATCAGCATAACATTCAACACTAGCTTCAGTTAGCAGGGTTGAGGAACGAGTCATGGCAGTATAATAACTCTGGTTAGACTAATAACACTGCACAAACAACAATCGTTTCAAAGTAGGACACATGTTGTTTTTTTTTTTATTATCCCAAGGGCCTAAGAGACATAAAAAGTATGTGTTTGTGTGTAGCAGGAAATAGTCTGTTAAAGTAAAGCCTTACTAAGGCACTATGGATATAAGCGGGCTAAAAAGATACAGTTTATCATCATGTACAAACACACCCCTGCCTGTCCAGTGTTCTATCAACCTGCTGTTCAGATATGGGCGACCCAAATGTCTTCCTGTTCGTGACTACTACAAGTAACAGTTGAAGTGCTATTACTGTAATTATACAGGTTACAGCCAGTCCAATACATTTGACAGATTAACCAATAATCACGCAGCTACATTTAAATAATAAGGGACAAAAATATGTTTGGTATTTTCTGCGATAAACCCAACTTTGTTTTCCACACACAAGGTAAAGTTATCACAGTCCTGATTAGTGAAAATATTTTATTTTCAGACTAAAAATGTAAGCAAAAACAAACAGGCTTTTGGTAGCATCAACCAGCCCTTCAGTCTAAATATAAATTGTATTTCCTTTCAATGCATTTCAAAATATGTTCAACCATGTTAAGAATTCAATATCATCTGCCTCGTCTTTTCTCAAAAGGAACCTTTTGGAATGTGGAACTGATAAAATCTCTGTGCTACAGAATGGATGTTCAGATTCCAGGGGTCATAACCTTTTCATGTCTGGGATTCCACAACGCCGCTAAGACAATGTAGAATAACAGATCGCTCTGCTAGGTGCTATCCTTTGTTTATTTAGATCTCCAGTGGACTCCGGAGTCGTACTCATTAGGACACACTGTACCAAACTGTTTTGCAACAGAAAGCGAAAAGGAGTATTTCTTATTGGACAAGTTCAGATAGTTTTCTTCTGTTTGCTGCCTAATGAACAGGACCCAGGACTGACAACAGGGAGTGGACTGCTAGCATCAGACATTCCTCTACTTCTCTCGCTTTCATTTTCCTCTTTCCTCTCCCTCGCTCTTTCCTCTACTTCTCCTCCTTTCATCTCATCCATCCCCCGTGATTCATGGGCATGCCAGGGGGTGGCAGGGGCACCTGGGGCTGGCCTGGTGGCAGGGGGTACACCCCAGGAGGCATGCCCATCCCTGGAGGGGGCACCCCGTGTCCTGGGGGCATGCGTGGAGGCGGAGGGGGGTACTCAGGGTAGCTGTGGTTGTAGCCTGGTGGAGGGTATGCTGGGGAGGGAGGGGGCAGGTTGGGGGGTGGGTAGACGCTGGGTGGGGGGCCAGGGGGTGGGGCGTTGGGGTAAACGTGAGGGTGATAGGGCATGGGGGGACCGTAGTTGGGGGGCATGGGGGCGTAGGAGGGTTCCCCTGTCTTCATTATAGACTGAAGGCTCTGGAAGCCTTCCCCTGACATGTAGGAGCTAGAGGTGGACATGCCCATGATGTAGCTAGAGGGGGGAGGAGGAGGGGGGCGGTGGGGCAGGGGAGGGGGCTGGTGGGGGGGGTGGAGCGTTTTGAGATGGGAGGGGGAAGGGGAAACGGGATTCACTCCCCACGGATGGCGCTCTGCTTCAGGAGGGACTGGGGGAGCTTACGTATCTGAGGGGAGAGAGAGAGAGAAAAATAATGTAACTCCAATAAACAAACAACCCTGATCATAGGTTTCAATTCCTGTTCAACGAGACCAAACGTTTGAGACCTGAAAACGTCAGTCACAAGTTTCTACCCAGACAGGGATTCCTAGTATTCCCAGTCTAGACTATACACTCCCTGTGTAGTACTCGTTCAGAAGTTGAAACAGAAATCAGATTGGTCTGATTACTGATTTGTAAGTCGCTCTGGATAAGAGCGTCTGCTAAATTATGTAAATTTAAAAATGTAAAGTCTGGAGGGCAGGCAGTAGGGTGGATGTCTGCCGGGGAAGTTTTTTTTTATTTAGGCATTAGCAGACGCTCTTTCAGGCGCTAGAGCAATTAGGTTAGTGGCTCAAGGGCAATTACGTCTCTAGTCGGCTCGGGGATTAGAACGCAGCGAGGTATGGCACACGTTACCATAGTACTGCGCCCAGGTTATGTATGGGTTAAGAAGACCTAGAGATTGGGACGCCTGTTGTGCTTTCCAAGCTGCCCTCACAGAAAGTCCTGACCCCTCAATAAAACTGTCTTTCATTAAACACACAACATAAAGATGCCACATCCTCCATCGTATGACAACTGACCTTTTCTCTCTGATTAGATAAAGATGATCAGTAGCTACTGATGTTATGCATATAATGAGCAAACTACTGAGCAGTAAGAGTCATTCCAGGTCATTTCAGCAAACCATGACACCCGCCATCTCAGGTAGTTCTGAAATTGTTTCTGTTGTTAGAAACAGCTAAGATTCGCATTCCTGAAACATTATTTTGTTGAACTGTAATTTTATCTCTGAGAAATTAAGTTTATTGATTGCACCAATTTTTATTTATAGTATTCAGATAATGTTCAATAAATAAAGTACTCAACATCTGATTTGGACCAAACTTCTTCCTTCCAATGAGTAAGACAATACATTCACCCACGGGCCCCCAATACCCCATGCCAATCCCACCCCAACAACCAGCATACAGTATCAGTTCTCTATGTTTGTAGTCTAATGGCTTTTTTCCCCTGTTCAGAGAAATTAGTCATTGAAGTCGCTTGCATTATTTATCATACTGAATTGCTTTCACGGAGGACTGGCTTGAACTTCGGAGATGACCACACAATTTATTTTCATCATGAGCCAAATCTATTGGTTTTCTACCCAAAGTTGCGAAGGAAATGTTGTGGTCTATTTAATAAACACAAGCGTCCAGCAAAATGGATAAAAGAGCATGGCGGTGAAGCAGGAACAGCGGCATCTAGTGGTCAAAACATGGTACTTCCACACTACTTAAGGTAAATAATGCAAGTGACTTCAATGACTAATTTCACTGAACAGGGGGAAAAAAACATCACCAGATTCACAGGGAATACATTACATAGTATGGAGAAGCAATACTCCAAGCCGCAGCTTCATACTACTTGTCAAACATAGAGAACTGATACTGGTTGTTGGGGTGGGATTGGCATGGGGTGTGGATAATTCTTGGGGGGATTTCTCATGTCTTACTCATTGGTAGGAAGAAGTTTGTTCCAAATCAGACATTGGGAAATATATAGTATTTATTGAATATGATCTGAATCCTATAAATTAAAATGGCCAGATTGGGTGCAATCAATTAGCTTAATTTCTCAGTGATCAAATTATAGTTCAACAATGTTTCAGGAATGCTAATTGTATCGGTTACTAATTACAGAAACGATTTCAGAACAATCTGAGACGGTGGGTGTCGAAATACTCTTTCTTGTGCTTTTTGAGGTGGAACGACCCAAGAGACACTCACCAGGAGGGGGTTGTGAAGTGGGCAGGGGGGGCATAGGGCTCTCCAACCGTGGAATCTTAGAACCCACTTGTTCTGGTGGTTTAGGTTCCTCTTTCGGAGAGCTCTGAGAAGACAAAAAGAGAGATACAGTCACTCACATACCCTGCTGCTTAAAGCAGGCACACAATACAAGCACCAAGTTTGACCTCTGAGCACTTTAGGTATGGTAAGCTACTACAGAACTATAGAGAAACTATGATGTCGGGGTGGTTGAACTGTCACTTTTAGCCATGGAAAGTGGACTTATTTTTATCACCAGCTGAGCTGAAACATCCAGGGACAATGCAGTCAGGCATACATCACTCACATGTGTGCGTTTAAGTGGGCTGCCCTGGGGTGAGTTCTTCTTAGGTGGAGGGGGCGGTGGGGCACCCGCTGGAGGCTGGCCCTGTGGAGGTGCTGGGCCTGGAGGAGGGGCAGGGACCGGGGACTGGGGTGGACCTCTCTGCTTGGTCTCCTGCTCCAGACCCGGGGGGATAGGAGTCTTCCCCTGGGAGTACAGGTCCAGGATCTGGTGACAGATGTCTGGGAAGAGAGAGGGGAGGTTAGGCAAGTGACAGACAGGGACAATCCTGGGCCGAATCCTAACTTTAATAAATATGCTACACACTGGACATGTTGCATAAATCATGTCAATAAGTGATTTGCTTAGTTATTGGAACAGATGTCAATTTAGGAATCAGCCCTATGAGTAGAAAGAAAAAACTGAAATTCTTACATTACAAATAAAGGTTTTTACACTAAGAACATTAACTTCTCTACCACACAACGTCGGAAGGCAGGTCCAGAAAGGTTGGACACACCTACTCGTTCAAGGGTTTTTCTTTATTTTTACTATTTTCTACATTGTAGAATAATAGTGAAGACATCAAAACTGTGAAATAACACATATAGAATCATGTAGTAACCCAAAAAAGTGTTAAACAAATCAAAATATATTTTAGATGTTAGATTCTTCAAAGTAGCCACCCTTTGCCTTGATGACAGCTTTGCACACGCTTGGCATTCTCTCAACCTGCTTCACCTGGAATGCTTTTCCAACAGTCTTGCTGAGCACTTATTGGCTGCTTTTCCTTCACTCTGCGGTCCAATTCATCCCAAACCATCTCAATTGGGTTGAGGTCGAGTGATTTTGGAGGCCAGGTCATCTGATGCAGCACTCCATCACTCTCCTTATTGGTCAAATAGCCCTTACACAGCCTGGAGGTGTGCTGGGTCATTGTCCTGTTGAAAAACACATGATAGTCCCACTAAGCGCAAACCAGATGGAATGGCGTATCGCTGCAGAATGCTGTGGTAGCCATGCTGGTTAAGTGTGCCTTGAATTCTAAATAAATCACAGACAGTGTCACCAGCAAAGCACCCCCACACCATCACTCCTCCTCCTCCATGCTTCACGGTGGGAACCGCACATGCGCAGATCATCCGTTCACCTACTCTGCGTCTCACAAAGACACAGCGGTTGGAACTAAAAACCTCAAATTTGGACTCATCAGACCAAATGACAGATTTCCACCAGTCTAATGTCCATTGCTCGTGTTTCTTGGCCCAAGCAAGTCTCTTCTTCTTACTGGTGTCCTTTAGTAGTTGTTTCTTTGTAGCAATTCGACCATGAAGGCCTGATTCACACAGTCTCCTCTGAACAGTTGATGTTGAGATGTGTCTGTTACTTGAACTCCGTGAAGCATTTATTTGGGCTGCAATTTCTGAGGCTGGTAACTCTAATGAACTTATCCTCTGCAGCAGAAGTAACTCTGGGTCTTCCTTTCCTATGGCGGTCCTCATGAGAGCCAGTTTCATCATAGCGCTTGATTGTTTTTGCAACTGCACTTGAAGAAACGTTCATAGTAATGATGGACTGTTGTTTCTCTTTGCTTATTTGAGCTGTTCTTGCCATAATATGGACTTGGTCTTTTACCAAATAGGGCTATCTTCTGTATACCTTGTCACAACACAACTGATTGGCTCAAACGCATTAAGAAGGAAAGAAATTCCACAAATTAACTTTTAACAAGGCACACCTGTTAATTGAAATGCATTCCAGGTGACAACCTCATGAAGCTGGTTGAGAGAATGCCAAAAGTGTGCAAAGCTGTCATCAAGGCAAAGGGTGGCTACTTTTTTTTTTTTTTTTTTTTACTTTGAAGAATCTCAAATATAAAATATATTTTGATTTGTTTAACACTCTTTTGGTCACTACATGATTCCATATGCGTTATTTCATAGTTTTGATGTCTTCACTATTATTCTACAATATAGAAAATAGTAAAAATAAAGAAAAACCCTGGAATGAGTAGGTGTGTCCAAACGTTTGACTGGTACTGTATATTCAGCATTACATATGGCACTAGATCCTCTCAGAGCCTTCCTTTCTATACCTTCCAGCAGCTCCACAGGGACGTCCTGGACAAACTGCTCCCACCATCGCCGTGAAGACTGCTTGGACGTCCACTCCTGGATGTCAAACTTACACAGCCGTCCAGCCAGGTACATGACTGCTACTGCTATGATCTCTGGTTCCCACTGCAGGGACAGCATGGTGCACAGACTGGACAGAGGTAGGAACAGAGAGAACCGTTTAGATGTGGAGGCAAATACAGTCCTACAATACTACTCAATGAATACAGTAAGATGAGAGAAGGTGAGAACCAACTACTGTAAGGTGAGGCACTATATGACAGGACACAGGAATATAAATAGGAGACCTGTAACATTATTAACATTCAAGCCTTCAGGTCAGACTGTAAATCAGGAGAATAGGAGTCCTAACTACTGTGTTATGTTTCGCCCACCTGTCGTTGACGAAGGTCCATGCCATCTGCACCAGCTTCTGAACTTTGGTTTTGTCACCTAGAACGAAAAAAAAAAAAAGGACCGTTGGAAATTAAGTTAGACATGAAGGGTTGGAAATGAAGGGTTGGAAATGAAGGGTTGGAATTGAAGGGTTGGATTTTAAGCGTTAGGAATGAAGAGTTAGGAATGAAGAGTTAGGAATGAAGTCAAACTAAGATGGAAACGCCACCTTTCAGACCTTTGAGCTGCTTGGCATATCTCAGGAGGAACATGTAAGGGTGTTCCACTTGCAGGTCAAACTTGATTGTCTGTAGCAGAATCCTCTCTAGCACCATAACCTCTTCCTGTTGATGGCGAAAATCCTATGACACATCCCAGGAAACACAAGAGCGTAAAGTAAGGAAAACACAAGAGCTTTTCACACTACTACACAATCAAGCTGTACTGAGCTGGCCTGGTTAAGCATTCACCATAATCGTGAAGGTGCATATGGAGGAATTCAGATATGACGTAATTGTTTTGGCACTACCCAGAGAGTTTTTAAACTACGGCGCGCAACATGGTTCAATGTGCCAATAAATCGGCACAATCTACTTTTTTGTTTTTTCAAATTGCCGCCATCTTGGAGCTAATTGGGATCAAGTTTACTGTGCTAATGCCGATACAAAAAAAAAAGCCTAATGGAGAGCACTGTATAATATGACAAACGTCACAAATGAGGCATTTGTGTTAAGTACATGGGGGCTGCCATATTTATGCATGGTTGGAACTGTGCTGAAGGACAATGTGAAAAGAAAAGCCTATTATCGAGCCAGCACAGTTTGGTTTGGGTCAGCACGTGTGAAAAGGGTACCAGCAGGACTTCACTGTACCTAAAAACAGAAGAAGGAGAAGTAAATAAAGTAAGATATCTCTCACTTTTGGGTCGTCTCCAAACTGGGCAAACTGTACGTCGTTCAGTAAGCTGCGAGCCGTCTTGATGATGTCTTTACATTTCTTAGGAGTCTCCTCCACTTTCCCAGCCAGGAAGAGACAACACGCACCGGTCACCTGGAGACATAGTTCCTTCAGAAAGTGTTCACACCCCTTGACTTATTCCACATTTTGTTGTGTTACAGCCTGAATTCAAAATTGATTAAATATATGTTTTCCATCTACACACAATACCCCATCATGAGAAAGTGAAAACATGATTTTAGACATTTTAGCAAATGTATTGAAAATGAAATACAGAAATATCTAATTTACATAAGTATTCACACCCGAGTCAATACATGTTAGAATCACCTTTGTCAGCGACTACAGCTGTGAGTCTTTCTGGGTAAGTCTCTAAGAGCTTTGCACACCTGGATTGTACAATATTTGCACAATTGCACAAGCTCTGTCAAGTTGGTTGTTGATCATTGCCAAACATCCATTTTACATTTACGTCATTTAGCAGACGCTCTTATCCAGAGCGACTTACAAATTGGTGCATTCACCTTATGATAGCCAGTGGGACAACCACTTTACTTTTTTTCATTTTTTTTCATTGGGGGGATAGAAGGATTACTTTTATACTATCCCAGGTATTCCTATTATTATATAGTATTATTTTCAAGTCTTGCCATTAATATTCAAGCCGAATTAGGTCGAAACGGTAACTAGGCCACTCAGGAACATTTACTGTGCTCTTGGTAAGCAACTCCAGTGTATATTTGGCCTTGTGTTTAAGGTTATTGTCCTGCTGAAAGGTGAATTCATCTCCCAGTGTCTGGTGGAAAGCAAACTGAACCAGGTTTTCCTCTAGGATTTTGCCAATGCTTAGCTCCATTCCATTTATTTATATCCTGAAAAACTCCCCAGTCCTTAACGATGACAAGCATACCCATAACATGATGCAGCCACCACTATGCTAGAAAATATGGAGAGTGGTACTCAGTAATGTGTTGTATTGGATTTGTTCCAAACATAACACTTTCTATTCAGGACAAAAAGTTAAACTGGCAATATGTAACTTTTTAGGAGACCCGACCAAATTCACATAGAAATGTGAGTTATAGATGTATTATTCTACTTGAAAGCCAGTCTAAGAAGCGGTAGATCTGTTCTATGTGTGCTATTTCTATGCTTCCCGTTCCTAAGTTTTGATTTTGCGTCTTTTACTTTCGGTTTTGTACACCAGTTTCAAACAGCTGAAACAACAATATTTTTTGTTTATGGACAATATATTTCCCAGCGGTTTAGATGGTACAATGATTCTCTACACTATACTAGCTTATTTTGTCACATAAACTGAAATTAGGGGAACTATTAAGAGTTTTAGCAACCAGGAAATGGCGGAGCGATTGCTGCATAGTCCAACTTTAATTGCTTTGCCACACTTTTTGCTGTATTACTTTAGTGCCTTGTTGCAAACAGGATGCATGTTTTGGATTTTTTTTTAATGATGTACAGGTTTCCTTCTTTTCACTCTGTCAATTAGGTTAGTATTGTGGAGTAACTACAATGTTGTTGATCCATCCTCAATGTTCTCCTATCACAGCCATTCAACTCTGTAACTGTTTTAAAGTCGCCATCGGCAACAGAGTTAGAAAGGACGCCTGTATCTTTGTAGTGACTGGGTGTATTGATACAGCATCCAAAGTGTAATTAATAACTTCACCATGCTCAAAGGGATATTCAATGTCTGCCGTTCTTTGCGAGGCATTGGAAAACCTCCCTGGTGTTTGTGGTTGAAATTCACTGCACGACTGAGAGACCTTACAGATAATTGTATGTGTGGGGTTAAACGCTATTATTGCACACAGAGTGAGTCCATGCAACTTATTATGTGACTTGTTAAGCACGTTTTTACTCCTGAACCTATTTAAGCTTGCCATAACAAAGGCGTTGAATACTTATTGACTTAAGACGTTTCATTTTTTATGAATTTGTAAAAATGTCTAAAAACATAACTCAACTTTGACATTATGGGGTATTGTGTGTAAGCCAGTGACCCAAAATCTAAATGAAATCAATTTTAAATTCAGGCTGTAAGACAACAAAATGTGGAAAAAGTCTAGGGGTGTGAATACTCTCTGAAGGCACTGTACACAAGTCTCACACACCATTTAATACCATTTAAATACCAGCACATTAGACAGTACCTCTAGGTATGCACCACTGAGATTAAAAACTTGACAACATGACCGTGTACAATTATTCTGATTCGTGAAGGCAAGTATTGCACAAGTGTAGCATTGCAAAGTCGCTTTGGATAAGTGTGTCTGGATAAGTGTGTCTGGATAAGTGTGTCTGGATAAGTGTGTCTGCTAAATGATGTAGTACTAATGAACACTGCAGAAATGCCTTATGCATACTGACACCAGTAATGCAATGGCTATACTCACATATCTGGGGAACTGTTTGAAGGAGTGAAACATGTAGAAGCGGTGGAAGTATATGATACCTGTTGCCAGGGTGTCATAATGTCTGATGACAGAGTTAAGGTTAAATTCAACAAATGAGGAGTTTGACTTGAAACCGTTTTTTATAGTTCTAAAATGTCAAAACTTTAAAAAAAAATTACCCTAATTGAATGTACAAAAAATGAAAGACACCTGGTCTTTCCATGACATAGCCTGACCAGGTGAAAGCTATGATCCCTTATTGATGTCACTTGTTATATCCACTTCAATCAGTGTAGATGAAGGGGAGGAAACAGGTTAATTAATGATTTTTAAGCCTTGAGACAATTGAGACATGGATTGTGTGTGTGTGCCATTCAGAGGGTGAATGGGCAAGACAAAAGATTTAAGTGCCTTTGAACGGGGTATGGTAGTAGGTGCCAGGCGCACCGGTTTGTGTCAAGAACTGCAACGCTGCTGGGTTTTTGACACTCAGCAGTTTCCTGTGTGTATCAAGAGTGGTCCACCACCCAAAGGACATCCAGCCAACTTGACACAACTGTGGGAAGCATTGGAGTCAACATGGGCCAGCATCCCTGTGGCCCGATGAATTGAGGCTGCTCTGATGGCAAAAGTGGGGGTGCAACTAAATATTAGGAAGGTGTCCTTAATGTTTTGTACACTCAGTACACACACACACACACATATATTCACTACCAGTCAATAGTTTGGACACACCTACTCATTCAAGGGTTTTTCTTTATTTTTACTATTTTCTACATTGTACAATAGTAGTGAAGACATCAAAACTATGAAATAACACATATGGAATTATGTAGTAACCAAAAAAGTGTTCAACAAATATATTTTAGATTCTTCAAATAGCCACCCTTTGCCTTGATGACAGCTTTGCACACTCTTGGCATTCTCTCAACCAGCTTCATGAGGTAGTCAACTGGAATGCATTTCAATTAACAGGTGTGCTTTCTTAAAAGTTAATTTGTGGAATTTCTTTCCTTCTTAATGCGTTTGAGCCAATCAGTTGTGTTGTGACAAGGTAGGGTTGGTATACAGAAGATAGCCCTTTTTGGTAAAAGACTAAGTCCATATTATGGCGAGAACAGCTCAAATAAGCAAAGAGAAACGACAGTCCATCATTACTTTAAGACATGAAGGTCAGTCAATATGGAACATTTCAAGAACTTTTAAAGTTTCTTCAAGTGCAGTTGCAAAAACCATCAAGCGCTATGATGAAACTGGATCTCATGAGGACCGCCACAGGAATGGAAGACCCAGAGTTACCTCTGCTGCAGAGGATAAGTTCATTAGAGTTACCAGCCTCAGAAATTGCAGCCCAAGTAAATGCTTCACAGAGTTCAAGTAACAGACACATCTCAACATCAACTGTTCAGAGACTGTGTGAATCAGGTCTTCATGGTTGAATTGCTGCAAAGAAACCACTACTAAAGGACACCAATAAGAAGAAGAGACCTGCTAGGGCCAAGAAACACGAGCAATGGACATTAGACCGGTGGAAGTTTGTCCTTGACTCCAAATTTGAGATTTTTGGTCTTTGTGAGACGTGGTGTGGGTGAACGGATGATCACCGCACATGTATTTCCCACTGTAAAGCATAGAGGAGGTGGTGTTATGGTGTGGGGGTGCTTTGCTGGTGACACTGTCTGTGATTTATTTAGAATTCAAGGCACACTTAACCAGCATGGCTACCACACCATTCTGCAACGATACGCCATCACATCTGGTTTGGGCTTAGTGGGACTATCATTTGTTTTTCAACAGGACAATGACCCAACACACCTCCAGGCTGTGTAAGGGCTATTTGACCAAAAAGGAGAGTGATGGACTGCTGCATCAGATGACCTGGCCTCCAAAATCACCCGACCTCAACCCAATTGAGATGGTTTGGGATGTGTCGGACTGCAGAGTGAAGCAAAAGCAGGCAACAAGTGCTCAGCATATGTGGGAACTCCTTCAAGACTGTTTGAAAAGCATTCCAGGTGAAGTTGGTTGAGAGAATGCCAAGAGTGTGCAAAGTTGTCATCAAGGCAAAGGGTGGCTACTTTGAAGAATCTCAAATAAAAAATATATTTTGATTTGTTTAAAACTTTTTGGGTTTCTACAAGATTCCATATGTGTTATTTCATAGTTTTGATGTCTTCACTATTATTCTACAATGTAGAAAATAGTAAAACTAAAGAAAAACCCTTGAACGAGTAGGTGTATCCAAACTTTTGACTGGTACTATATATATATATACAATTGGAAATATTTATCATATTCCTCATGTATGGTTATATAGTGATGTCACTGACCACTGCCCCTATATATAGGACTTTCCTATATCTGGTGTGTAAAAGGATACAGTCCGAGTCTGGTCCCCACATCAAATATGAACCGGGCCCCCTCCCTGCGGTACCGGGCCTCTGTTGCCGGGTCCAGGCCCTCGGACTGGGACGGGGTGTGGGCCAGGTCCTTTTTGTCCCAGTACCAGCATGGCTTGATATGGTCCAGGAAGGCCTGACCACTGGAGGGGTGGTTGTTTTCCTTCATCTGGTGAAGAGAGGAGGATGATGGAGCCGCTGAACTAGAAGACTGGCAACAGAGGAGGAAGGGATGATTCACAGCATGAATGAATGGTGTATTGTCATCTTGGATGAAGAAATAGTGTAGCTAGTAAGCTAGCTAGAGTTATAAAAACGAAACATATCACAAACATATAGTGTTGTAAGCTAGCTAGAAAGATGTTTACCTGTATCATTCTAGCTAGCTTACTAGCTTTCAGGCCGAGGTTGCTAACGTTAGCTAAGTTAACTTGCTAAACTAACTTTAGCACTCCCTCGAGAGGCTAACGTTAGCTAGCTAATGACTTTAGAACTAATCCAAAACACACGCATTTCGAAAGTACATGGTCTAAAATCAGAAAAGAATGACGATTACCTTTATCATGTAGACTTAATAATGAGTAACACTACCAACAATCGATTAACTCGTTTTAAATTTATATTGAATTAGTCATCGAAAACGGTCCCCATCGTAACATGGGCGCCGCCATTTTGTTTTACGTCAGAAGCCGGTGCGGGGGTTGTATGCGTGCGCAGTCGCGCTTTGGACAAAATGATCCACTAGAGGGCGACAGAGAACTACTAATGTTGATGACTCCACCACAGATATTTCACCGGATGTACCAAATCATGAGAAAACAAAAAGAGAATTACTTGACACATTGGAAAGAATTAACAAAACATCTGAGCAAACTAGAATGCTATTTGGCCCTAAACAGAGAGTAGACAGTGGCAGAATACCTGACCACTGTGACTGACCCAAACTTATGGAAATATTTGACTATATACAGAGACAGACTCAGTGAGCATAGCCTTGCTATTGAGAAAGGCCGCCCACAAAATGAGGTGGAAACTGAGCTGCACTTCCTAACCTCCTGCCTAATGTATGACCATATTAGAGACAAATATTTCCCTCAGAAAATACCCAGACCCACAAAGAATTAGAAAACAAACCCAATTTTGATAAACTCCCATATCTATTGGGTGAAATACCACACTGTGCCATCACAGCAGCACGATTTGTGACCTATTGCCACAAGAAAAGGGCAACCAGTGAAGAACAAACACCTTTTGTACTTTAACTATTTGCACATAATACATTTACATTTTAGTCATTTAGCAGACGCTCTTATCCAGAGCGACTTACAGTTAGTGAATACATATTTTTTTATACTGGCCCCCCGTGGGAATCGAACCCACAACCCTGCCATTATATAACATTTGAAATGTCTTTATTCTTTTGGAACTTTTGTGAGTCTAATGTTTACTGTTAACTTTTTAATTGTTTATTTCACTTTGGTTTGTTATCTATTTCACTTGCTTTGGCAATGTAAACGTCTGTTTCCCATGCCAATAAAGCGCTTAAATTGAAATTGAATTGTATGAATGTGAATTATCCGGTTGGCGTTTCCCTCATTACCAAATTTGGTGATGAGAGGAAGCCCAGTGGCCGGCAGTGGAAGAAGATGGAGCGAGATGGATTTTGGTCGACATTCTGCTAATTTTCTCATCGATGAAACATTTGATCTCCATACAGTTTTCTGTTTCCAAAACTAGAATCTGTAACAAACAGAGTGGACTTTTTGTAGACATTACCCTTTGCCAAAGTTTCTTAAAATTGCGTTGTTTAGAAGGAATGCAAGGGCGAATTAAATTATTGCACACAAGCGCTTCACAGAGTATGCGTTCCCTAACGGAAATATGCAACAAATACTACAACGCTAGGATCTCACTAGCTCGTGCTTGGCTCTGCCCACCTCCTTGCTTGTTCTGCCCACTATGATGAATTTACTCCAATTGGAAACGACAGGTTGTGGTCTATCTAGAGTTAGTTATACAAATCTTTGCCTCTACTTTTTTATGTAGAGGGGCCAGGGTTCCTTTCTGACGCCCGGCCCAGAAAGACAAGACGGCCACATAGAGAAGTCAGATTTTAAAAATCCTAATAAGACACTTTTTTCCATCACTCACAGCCGAAAATATTCAAATGTTATATTCATCCAATGTCTGCAATGTTTATTGATGATGTCGTCGCTGCTCACGCTGCTCCCTGTGCCCACTGATGCAGCGTTCAGGACAACTGGGAACTCGTAAATCTCTGACTTCCTACTTCAATGCGTTCAAGACAACTGGGAAATCAGGAAAACATTTCTAGAGCTCCGACTTTCCGACCTGACGATCACTGTCGTCATGATTTGATCTCGTTTTTTCAGAGTTCCCAGTTGTCTTGAAAGCACAATGAGTGCTAGTGCGCATGTGCTGTTGGTCCATATAACCGGATGCAACCTGGATATAGACGGTCCATGAATCGGTGTATAAAACCTGAGTAGATTACCTTGAAAACAAAAGATCGGACATTTTGGACGCAGTCTCCCAATTCTTATTATACTTCAGTAAGAGGAGCTCAATGGTCAGTCCGAGTTCATGAATGGATAAATTAATAAATCAATCAGTGGTGATGCGTCATTCAGGGCAATTGGGGCACGGCCCCGCCACTTTCCAGAAGATGTTTTGCATGTTATTCTGGCATTCATTCGTGTCTCAATATTATATAGCTAGCAAACAATGTAAATAAAGTCATTGCTTGAGTTAATGAGCAGCATACTCGACTCCTCTCTGTTTTATTTGAGTAAGGCGGTTCCAGAATGCAGCTGTTTCAGCCTCGCTCAGTTCCTTCTGTGGCGGAGGGGCAGCCAGAGTATGCACAGACGGAAGCCATCGTTGATCTTCTTTGGTTTGCGCGTGATTGGCTCAGGGTGATGTCACTCACAACACCGCAAGCACCTACTGGGAGAGCCCACTGATGGCCAGGCAGCTTCTGCCCACTTGGGTGCTGTCATAGAGTTAGGTTTGGCAATGCCCATCCAAGGAGGCTCAAGGTCATTGGCCACAGATAAGTCAACGTCTTTTCTCCAGTAACTTTGATTGGACTGATGTGTGTCAACTTCATTGTTCACCACGGCCAGCTGAAAAGTTATCATGTTGACTATCTCCTAGCAAATCAACTTAGCGTTATGAAGGAAATGCAGAGATAAACCGTCTCGGTGCTCATCAGCCACTAAACATTGACACAAGGCCATCCATTAAAATAAAGCAAGCTGGGAAAAAAAAGATTCAACTGTGGTTGGTGGTGGATGGAAGCAGTGGCTAACATCTGTTTTGAGGTAGCTATATGACGTGGCTTGTTGTTAATGTTTGATGTCAGACTGTTATACCCATGGAACTGGAGCTATAGATGAAGCTAAGTCGCTCTGGATAAGAGCATCTGCTAAATGACTCAAATGTAAAAATTTAAATGAAGCGAGGGAGTAACTTAATACATTTTGTTGCTTTATTCTTAACCGGAGCATCTTGGTTACAGGCAGGCAGACGCACTCAGAACGGTGTTTTGGCTGCATCCCAATACTGTAACAATTAAGCAATATTGTAGACCCATGCAGAATTTTACAATGGGAAGTAAACTGATCATAACTGAATGTTATAACGTTTGTGTGTGTAGTGGTTATGGGGCATATTAGCTTTTTTGATTGAGTTTACCCCATCGATATTTTCATGTTAAAATCGCCACTGGAATCAATTCATTAATTTACTACTGGGTGAATGGATGAATATACACTACCGTTCAAAAGTTTGGGGTCACTTAGAAATGTCCTTGTTTTCGAAAGAAAAGCAATTTTTTTGTCCATTAAAATAACATCAAATTGATCAGAAATACAGTGTAGACATTGTTAATGTTGTAAATGGCTATTGTAGCTGGAAACGGCTGATTTTTAATGGAATATCTACATAGGCGTACAGAGGCCCATTATCAGCAACCATCAGTCCTGTGTTCCAATGGCACGTTGTGTTTGCTAATCCAAGTTTATCATTTTAAAAGGCTAATTGATCATTAGAAAACCCTTTTGCAATTATGTTAGCACTGCTGAAAACTGTTGTGCTGATTAAAGGAGCAATAAAACTGGCCTTCTTGAGACTAGTTGAGTATCTGGAGCATCAGCAATTGTGGGTTCGATTACAGGCTCAAAATGGCCAGAAACAAATAACTTTCTTCTGAAACTCATCAGTCTATTCTTGTTCTGAGAAATGAAGGCTATTCCATGCGAGAAATTGCCAAGAAACTGAAGATCTCGTACAACACTGTGTACTACTCCCTTCACAGAACAGCGCAAACTGGCTCTAACCAGAATAGAAAGAGGAGTGGGAGGCCCCGGTGCACAACTGAGCAAGAGGACAAATACATTAGAGTGTCTAGTTTGAGAAACAGGCGCCTCACAGGTCCTCAACTGGCAGCTTCATTAAATAGTACCCGCAAAACACCAGTCTCAAAGTCAACAGTGAAGCGGCGACTCCAGGATGCTGATCTTCTAGGCAGAGTTGCAAAGAGAAAGCCATATCTCAGACTGCCCATCTTAATCTTTTATTTTTATTGGCCAGTCTGAGATATGGCTTTTTCAGCTGTGCTAACATAATTGTAAAAAGGTTTTCTAATGATCAATTAGCCTTTTAAAATGATAAACTTGGATTAGCAAACACAACGTGCCATTGGAACACAGGACTGATGGTTGCTGATAATGGGCCTCTGTACGCCTATGTAGATATTCCCTTAAAAATCAGCCATTTCCAGCTACAATAGCCATTTACAACATTAACAATGTCTACACTGTTTTTCTGATCAATTTGATGTTATTTTAATGGACAAAATAATAGATTTTATTTAAAAAACAAGGACATTTCTAAGTGACCCCAAACTTTGAACGGTAGTGTATATGGTTTGCTTTGGATTGTCTAGTTGCCTCTTTTACTGATGACATTACAGAAATCACGTTATTCATCGAGGGACAAACTAGGCCCAGTGCACAATCAAGTTTATAGATTTGGCTAATACATCAGTCCATATTGGGCAATGTGTTTGCAATTTCAGAGTTGACTAGAATAGTGAAAAACTATTTTCCCCATCACTCAAGTTTCAGTCAAAAAAAAAATCATCTGATTTGTATTTGGTTGAAGGAAGGAGATAAATTGCTCCTGTCACAACTAATGTGTGTAGTTTATGTCCAAGAACATGAGGCAATCCGCTCCCAATACCCTCCCTATTATCTCTGTCAACTCCCAGAGAACAGACAGCGTTGAAACATTTACTTAATCCCAATTAAAAATCTGGAATCTGCATGTATTATTAACCCCTTCTCAGACAAAGCCTTTTAACAGTGGGAAGAGTTGTCACGTTGTGTGCCATGGGGCCACTGTTACAAGCCTTGTCTGGTTGTTTGTTGCCCATAGCAAGAGATCTTAATCTGTCACTCAGGCCGTAGGATACACACACACACACACACACACACACACACACACACACACTCCGTACACAGTAAATCAGCTCATGAATAATATACTCCTAT